TTAATAATAATACTTTGAATGGTAATTGAATATGTTCTGTGTTACTGTTACCAATGCAAGTTCTAAATTTTGAAAGATTATGTCTACTAGTCTGTCCAGTAAATACACTGATGACTCAATATCAAATTTTAAACAAAACCTGTAAAAAAATTCAGAAAAGTCATGGAACGTTAAAGACTTTATAGAAGCAAAGTATTGGAAAATAGCTCTTCAAGTATATCTACAGCTTCCACAAAGACCATGAAGACTACAACCTAGGTGCATCACACCACTACCTCTGTACATTCAACATTGATTATTATAAGTTTCTGATCCATGATTGAGTCGTTACATTTGTTCGGAGTCCTTACTCATTGAGTGTAGCTCCCTGGGATTTCTCAAATTTAGAAAAACAAGATGGTCGTTTGGAGTTAGCTCCGGGTCAATGTGAAGACGATGAAACGTAGAATGACAGCGTTACCCGGTTCGCTCAATTGACAGAGACTTCTCGCTATGTTTGGGAGAATAAAAGCTTAGATGAAACAAAAGACAAGCATTATGAAGACAGTAGGACTGATTTACTCTAATTCTCATCAGCTAAAGTTATATGATGGTTGGTCGCATTTCTATTGGACAGAACAGTAGCAAAGCCATCGGTTTGATAAGAAACTTTTTCCATTACACAAAAGGTATTCACTAATTATTTTCCTCACATAACGGCCATAGGTAAGTCAACTTAGTAGCCGTTACAAAATCATAGTGGCCTTCAGAATTTTGAAAGATACTTATCATAAATGCTAGATGAATGACAGAAGAAGCCAATTGGGTCATTCAACAAAATAAAGGCAGTTCAGTGACGAAGTTTTTTTCTTCGTAGTTCTATTTATTACATCTGTATGATCATATTTATAGTCATTTTCAACATACCAGCTTGTAATAAGACATACGTGTTGCGCCTCTAGCAAATTTATCAAAAATTTTCAATTATCTCGAGTATAATCTTCATAAGGGTTTTAAGGCTAACGCAACATTAAAGTGGAGATAATATGTTAAAAAAGTGTAACTATAAACACTATCACACCACTGTCGAAAAACAAAATCCATGGTCCGTATCGTATATTATTCTCAGTTTGTAATCTGAGCATAAAAATCCAAAATTAACATCTTCTACTTGTATATTTCCCTTATGAAAATTTATCAGAATAGTTCCTATAATTCGATTGGTATAGCAATGAAGCCCTACGGCTAATGGCATCGTGTGACATGTTTGTGCGCTTTTATAAATCATATTCACAGGAGGATTCACAAGATAGAAGAACATGATAGTTTTTACGGGATTATTGCAATTCATATTGCAACACTACTCGATAGTATAAAGGGGCAAATATCCAATAATGCCAGAAAAAGTTTTAAACGAACACCGAGAGGAAATCAAGGGGATAAAAGGGGGAATTTGTAGCTACAAGAGTCTTAATAATATATTCGAAAGGAAAAATAACTTATGCTAATTGTTATATTACCAAATGTTAATTCATTCTTATACCTTCATTTGCTTCTTCCTCAATCTGTAATCACGTATGTCGCTCTTTGAGACTGTGTATTTCCAAAAAGTGACAATTAACTCGTTCTCGATGATAATCATCTTGAACCGAAGTATACACTATTTCCTGACTTTTAATATGTGCTGTAATCTTATCTGACAAGAGGTTGAAGGTAGTCGTCAGGATACTTTGGATATAAGTTTCGTGCTAGTTGGGATTGCTGCAGCAGCGATTTGGAAGACTCCCAGTCTCCCACATTGTACGAGCATTCCATGTACCTAAATAAATGGTTGCTCTGGTTGTCAGAAGGGGCAGCGGTCTCGTGGCTTCCGAAGAAACTTGGCTTTCACCATGAGGTGTCATAACTCTTCTAAATGAAAATCTTCTGGTTCTCTGGGCAGAGTTTAATTGGTTTGAATAATTTTTTCTGGTTAGAGTTTTTTTAGCGAGTTAGTTTTCTACGGGATGGGGTCACTAACCCCATACCCAACCCTCCTCCTTTATCTGGCCTTGGGGCGGCAGTAGCCCCCGGAGGGATTCCAGGCGGAGTTTGCTACTGCTCAATAATTAATCAGTTGTAAATATCTGTCATATATGTTGGTCAGCCTCGGTGGTAACATCTCAAACTGTGAAGCTGGGTGACACAGGTTCATATCTTACAGGGAGCACTATTTCCCGTCAGATTGCAAATGCGCCTTGCTGAAAAGTTTCACGAAATCAATGTCCCAGATTTTCTGTCGATTACGTCCAACCAACTAAAATCATTTTACTGCTCGCAATTTCAAGTGACTTGGACCAGTATCCACGTTGCAACTTGATCGATAGTATTCGATTGACACTAAAGAAAGCATTGAAAATATGAAACTGGTTACTATCAATGATCAATCATTTATAATTTTTTTGTTTATTGACTTACTTTCTTGTCGATTATGCTCCTTACTACATAACAAACTCTTAACACTTCACAGTTCGATTATTTTAGTTTCCTTTATTTCGTTTTTCATCAATATAAACATACTTTTGAATATATGATGTCTTGTTTATTAGTTTCTGTTATTTTACATGTAAATTAATCATTAGATTTTAGAGTTTGTTCGTGGACATGGCATTCACATTAACCTGAAATAAATATTTATGGCCTTTATTATTATTATTATTATTATCATTATTATTATTATTATTATTATTATTATTATTATTATTATTATTATTATTATTAATCCTGCTTTTACAACTATTTTTACGATGCCCAAGATGTAGGCTCCAACAGTCAAGTCTTAATTGATTGGGGAGTAATTAACCTACAAAAGTGATTTCCTCCAGTCGCCCATGACGCTTTATCGTGTTTATTTTTTGTCAGTATTTGAATAAAGGGATACCATTTTGCTACATAAACATTTTTTTCTTCTGACTGATAGTTTTGTCTCAAATCATTCTAAAGGGCATTTGTCAATAATACGGTCTGGTGAATTGTCACCACTTGACCACACTTCTCTTCGTATCACTGCATATCTACCTATTGATTAGCATCCATTTAAACAGTTGCAAAGTTCACTCATGAAATCATCAACTCTCCTATAAAACTGATCTGTGTTTGTAAGAACTTTATTCGGCTTCTTTACCATTCTATTTTCCGAACTCTTTGTTAACTGATCAGTTCGTAATTTAGACTATGAAGTTTCCGCAATCTTCACAAAACCCTATTTACTAGTGATAATTATGTACTCATTAGCGACTAGCTTCAAGATGCAATTCTTGCAGTTCTGATGAGAAGCAATGACCAGTAGAGTTCAGATATGCTGGATATAAAACAGTTATCCGCCACAGACAATGAATGAAAATTGTGCAATATCGGGAATCGATTAGAGTTGAACATCAACATTGCTGTATTCTTACTCAATGGTATAGAGGCTAAGTGTTTAAGTATAGGCCAGAGGGCCTATGTTTGATCCCTGACGGTGGGTTTGTGGATACGCACTGCTGCGTAGTCCCATGGTAGGATGAAATGGTTGTCTAGGGTCTCCAGATTTTTAGTAATGACGTAGCTAAGAATGACCCGTGATGTAAACCGCGAAAATATTACAATCTCTACAAACGTTCGTATACTAATTATTACTCGATTGAAATATTTATGAACAATATATTACACATTTTTGAATTTTATTGTATAAGTTTATTGTAGTTTAAAATGAAGACAGTTGAAGAGCAAGCAGAAACAGACGCTCTTATTAAATTGAAAGGTGGACCAGAAGATAATCTGTCATGGGATCCTGAAGTGAGTTATATATATAGATTTTTACTTAAGACTGGAACCCCAAATTATCTCTTTTGCGCTAGCAAACACTCGTCAGTAAGACATGTCTACAATCATATAGGAATTGATGCTCTTCACCGGATTCATACCTGTATCAACCAGCGTCATACAGTAAAATACATTAATATTGAGCTCTTTGGATCACAGCATCCTAACCCATTAATTCCGATTACACAAAATCAAAACGGATCACCGGATATCGAGCCAATTATACTAAATAGTATATTACAACTAGATTGGTAGAATTTAATCAGTACTAAGAATTAGATAAACACTTTACTGATTACTACTCGACGATCAGTCAGTATAAATACTAGTGTAAAACTAGACAGTTACTAATTCCTATTAATAAATGAAGTATAAAGCCTATTCATTTCATTGATTGTAAATGTTTACTTTTTATTAAACAAGTATTAGTAATGTAACATAAATTTCTAATTCATTTTTACAACAAAACCTTAACTATTTATATGAAGTTCAAATAAATTATTTGTACTTTTAATAACTGAGTTTAATTCAAAGCACTTTTTATATTCATTCATTGTATTGCATTCAAAACTTTCAATCACATTTTAGTGAATGTAGATTGTATTTTGAAGTGGAATTCACAGTAAAGATTGTACTTCAAGCCCTTGCTTATAATATATATTTGTGTTCTTTATCAGGCTTCCCTAGACTGAGCATATTCATAACAAACACTTGTGGATAATAACAGAATATTTATTCAGTTTGTGTTTTAGTGATTTTTGTCCCTATACTTTTTTCTTTCGATGTTGTTAAGTTTTCCGAGTTAGATCGTTTAACTGCTTAGATTTCATTGTCGTTCTGGACAACATTGTCAGCGCTTACTCTATAGAAGTATAGAAGTATGACATTCAAATCAGTCAGCAATCAATAGACGCATAGATTTAAACCCGACCTATCAATCCATTCGTAAAAGGCCCAGAAATAACCTGATCGAATGTTAACAAAATAAAATAGTCACCTTGACTACAAAGGCAGTTGATGATAATAAAACCCATGAGAATAACCAGTCACACTCAATTCAAACAGAACAAACTGATTTAAAACTCGTGGAATAATTAAAAAGTTCACTTCTATGTGAAGTAAGCGCTGATAATACTGTCTAGAATGAGAACATAAGTTTCACAATAAAACCATCTAGCTTAGAGAACACAACATCGAAAGAATTTATCTGAGGTAAGAGTTCTCATTAATTCAAGCTACTCGTTTCCTTTGTTTTTTTTTCATTTAGCCAACATTACCCATAATACCAATGGTTCGATCACAATCATGGGATTTAAGTACACTTATATTTGATACATGTTTCTACACTATTCTTACAATTATTATATTGGGAAAAGTTGTGATTATATATCGAATATTTTGTAAATTTTGTAAGTATCTATTAAGAAGGTTGATTTTAATTGATACAACCAGTTCAATGGAACCGGAGGATTGGAATAAAATACATATTCATAATTATACGTCGAATACAGTAGAATATATTCAACAATCACCTGAATCATATAAGCTTTTCACTGAAGATTATAAAGAATTATTAAAGATATTAAATTTTATTGATGAATATAGTCGTGACTAAGGAATGTTAACAACAGACGAAGCAATTTTTGGCATAGAAACTTTAAAACAAAATTGTTCCATGATTCTCTTCGTACATTTTTCAAAGAAGTATCCTCCAAGTTCTAATGTTAACTACTTTAAATCTTAATTATTATTCTCAATACTAGTCATAATTTTTAACTGAAATTACTACTTAATACCATAAGAGAAGTTTTGTGTATGTGTGTATATCTTTGATGTTCAAATCGTCACAACTTATATAAAGATCCGGATTTTTGTCGTTTATTACACGTCTTTTCCGTAGGTTCATCTGAAATCTGTTCGACTCTGTACGGGATACGGATTTCGTATTATCTATAATATAGGAATTAGGAGTTACGACGGAAATCGAACTAGAACTACCTAGTTCCTGGAATCGTACTACGTCTAAATGTTGGTTGTGCTAACTGAAATTGCCATCTAGAATTCGCACCGTAAATTTTCTAATATTATTTACTAGAATCCTTATACACGGCCAAAAATAGTTCCCACAATATTATGTAACTTCTGTAAACCCCGAGCATCCTACATTTAAGTGAAAAGTCCTTCTTTTAATTAGTTTAATTAGACTCTATTCTGTTACAGAGTGATTAGCACTTCTATAGTGTATCAGGAATTTGCTCACTTCCCTCTCCAATTCATCAGACATTGTAGCAGCAAAAAAATTAATATTTGTCTTCAACAACTTGACGAGATTTTCTGAAAGAATATTAGAACAAGAGCGCCCAGAAGCACTGAACAGTTGTTTGCACCCTATACCATTCAACGACGTAGTAACTGCATCTTCAGTGAAATGTGAGCCATTACCATAGAGAACCCTTCCCGTCTAAATACTTTCCTCAATGTTTGGGGAAGTCATGAAACTACTTCAGGATAATTAAATAAGAATTAATGATAAGTTCATATTATTTTCTGAAGAATAGACCACTATAATGTGCATTAATTATCTCCCAGACCTCGGAAGACCGACCATGGAGTCCACTTTGAACGTTGATTTTTCGATTTATGACATCTTTCAAAACTGTTGTGAGGCATATAACTGCATTTTAGCCTTCTTGCGTAGCACTTAAAATGCATCTAAAGCAGCAATGGGTTTCAATAAGCAAGTATAAACAGTTTACCAGTAAAGACTGTACTAGTACATAGTTAGAAAATTCCATAGGTTAATCTCATAGTGACTGTAAAGATATCTAGTCTACACGTTGAATTTTTCTAGTAAATCTGTTCTGGATATTATACTATTCACCATTTATTGAAAAATAACTGTAGAACAACATAAATTAAATGGGAGGTAAATGTGTTTGAATCAATTCAATGGTATATTAATCCTTGTCAAAAGTGGTGCAGATTTATCTAAGGAATCCGAATAAAGCCATCTTTTAAACCAACTTTAGAATCGTCAAGTCAATTAAGAGCATCTTTAGTGTCGACCGTGGTTCACGCTTGCTTCACCAAACGGCAATTCAACTTTAATCTGTAATCACCGTATATTCTAAGGGTTTTACCATAAGACTTCAAAGGCGTAACAACAGAAGTACCAAAGCTGAAAAATTGAACTGGTTCAGCTATTCTTTTATCACCCAAAATATTCAATGCATTGTGAACTGCTTGTCGAAAATCACAACTGATTATTCTATTTTTTAGAATGACTAGATTTCTCTGTACTTGAAGTTCTACAGGCTGGATTTTCATCCCTCTATTAAAATTAGATAATGCAGTCATCGAATCTTTAACTAAAGAGTCAGAATCTTCTTTGAAAGCTGACAAAGACAACTCTACTTCAATGATTCTCAAATCTCCGAAACATTGTACTGACAATCCCATTTCACCCACTACTAACTCACAAGGCATCTATGAAGAACTGTCGTCTCCACTTAGCAATTCACAAAATCCTCGTTTTGGAAGTTTGTTCCCGGTAATTCTCAGTATCGAAACAAAATACACAAGACTTTTGGAAGGGAAGTTTACCACAAGTTAAAAATTTGCCAAAGGTTCAGTCATATCGGTGTAGTTCTTTGGGATCCTTTATCGAAATGTTTCTTATGTTTTCATGAGAACAAAGAATTTAGTTATGCGAATACTTATCCCCCGATGAAACCAACCCTTTCTATTTAAAAGAATATGGGAAACTACTGGTCATCCAAAAATATCTTCACACTAAATGCCTATCAGTATGCAAAAATGTCAACTACAAAGATAATCTGTCAAGATAATTGTTCTATAATGATAATAGTTTATAATATGTACTCGTAGAATTTTATCATATACATTATATACTACTGTATTAGACGAGTAGTCGCGATATCTTAGCGTTAATGACTAACACTCGATTTTTAACGATTTATTCACATGTTTGCATAGTGTGGAAACTACGAAATAAATGTTTCGTGCTGAAATGAAGTAAATTCTAGACAAAAGTATGTGTTTTTGTATGTGTACTTGTAGAAGGTTCTATTTCACAATCGCATCACATTATCGATATATATATATATATATATATATATATATATATATATATATATATATATATATATATACACATTTTTATTCAGTGGTTTAGGAATTCGATCTTCGAAAGCAGGACCGAAATTCATGGGTTTGACTCATTGTGGCGGGGTCGTGGATGCATGCCGCTAAAAAGTCCCATACTAGGATGACAGGGTCGTTCAAATTTAGGTTTTCAATAGTTGAGGCGGATAGGTCAGACTTATTAGAAATCATCAAGAGGCAAGCCACGACTTTGAATCCTCAAGGCAAAAGATGAAGAATAAAGAATATGTTGCGCGGGGAATTGAAGGCAAGCATGAAAAGAGTGAATAGAGCTTGGGAACAAATGTAAAGGAGAGCCCAGGACAGAATGGGTTGAAGATTCCTGGTCGGTGGCCTATGCTCTACAAAGGAGTAACAGGTTTAAGTAAGTGACTATTAATCTGCAATCACCCAAATACCGATCAATCTGTCGGATTATGTTCCTAAGTTTTCTGTAGATCAATTGAAAAAAATGGCACAACACTTTGTATATTATATTTTTAGATAGTTTTGTAGATAAATAGAGTAAAGGGGATGAGATTGGTGGTTTGAATAAATAATATCACTAGTGTTATTAAGAGTTAAACTGTAGTAGTTTGTTAGTTGAACATTATTATTCAAAGGAGTTTGAAGAGACTACTTTTCTGCTCATATATTGCATGATTCGTAAATTAAAATGAAATAGTGGAAATATTTTCTGCTCACTAGTTTAAGCCTTCATTAGGGATGTGAAATTTATCATTCAGCTTTCATCTATGTTCACCTATAAAGATTTATAAAACGATCAAATCTAAAGGAAATTCACTCATCTTCAAATTAAATGGAAGTCCTAACAGTGCCTTTCAAATAACTTTTGATATTCAAAATGTCAGACTTCAACAAAGTAGCTAACTATTCATCTAAACAACATAAAACTATTCTATCGCTAACACTACCGATCTAAAATGATTTAGGTGTAATTTGGAGTTATAACTATACTGAATTTTCTAGAAGTTTATCACCTATTATTTAACTATTTTACTCTACTTCTAATCATTCTTTTAGTGGAGGATCAACTGTCAGAAAGAACTATCACTAAGTATGCTACCTTTGTCAGAATCAGTGTAACAACATGATTAATGATAAATCAAAAGTCCGATATCCGAAATCACAAAGAGTTTATTTGATTAAAAAACATGGACAGTGAATGAGATTACGAGATTCTTGTTAACTGTAAACTATGTATTTCAATAGGCGTTCACTATTGCGACGATTATCTGAACTCTGACTCTTGATCAGGGATTGGTATGTTAATGGTATATTGTGGAACATGGGACGATGTTCCACACACTTTAATGTCAGATTTCATCGCTTTTTCCTTTGGAGAAAATGAAAGTGTGGTGTTTTTATGAAGTAATGATCCCTTTTTATTTGTGAACTGCTTGATTTCGAATTCCAAATACAATACGTTTATTCGTGCTTATCTAATACCATATTGCCATCAGTCATCGTTGGAGAGGGGTACCTGCTTGGACTCTGATCATGCCCTAGTACGAGCACGCATCTGCTTGCGCCTCACTGGACGCAAAAAAGCCACACAAAAAAGACTCATTAGAACCGAATTGAGTAATGAGAAAGCCAAAAGTAGGTTCCAGGAACAACTGAGGTCACACTTAGGTGGTTCTGAAAACGAGACTGACCCAGATGTTGCTTGGAAAGTTATACAAGCAGCTGTGGAAACAGCATTGACATCTACCAGTGATTTAAACCACAGGGTTACAAAGAACCAATGGATTTCGTCAAGGTCTGTTGCACTGATAGATTCTCTCAAACTCATCCCATCAGGTTCTGAACACGATGAAGAGCGTAAACAAATCAGATCTAGGTTGAGCAAAAGTCTAAGGAACGATCGTGAGCAGTGGTGGGCAACGAAAGCAAAAGAGATGGAAAAGGCAGTGGCTATAATGAACACAAGACAACTCTACAGACTAATAAAAGAAACTGGAATTAATAAATCAAGTGTAAGTCAGACCATTTCGGAAAGAGACGACACTCTAATCTGCTCCCAGTCCAGACGCTTAGAACGATGGGCGGAACACTTTAAGGAGCAGTTTAGCTGGCCTTCAGCTACTCTACAACTACCCTCTATTCCCAGACAGTGTGAATGGAACATTGAAGTAGGTCCCCCATCTCTAACTGAAGTTCAAAAGGCTATAGCTAATCTGAAACGAGGAAGGGCAGCTGGTCCAGATGGATTGGCCCCAGAGGTCTTTAAAGATGGTGGTCTAGTTTTAGCGACTAGGTTGACTAATATTTTAGTTAAAATCTGGGAGTTGGACATAATCCCCTCTGACTGGTCACAATCACTTATCGTCCCAATATTTAAAAAAGGGTCAAAATCATCCTGTGACAACCACAGAGGGATTAGTTTGACTAATATAGTATCTAAAATACTAGCTTCGATAATTTTCGGACGCCTAACTAAGACTCGTGAACTGCAAACACGTGAAAATCAGGCTGGCTTCAGACCTGGTCGTGGCTGCATCGACCACATATTCACCATTCGTCAGGTTCTAGAACACAGGCATACTTATCGGTGTCCGACAATGGTGGTATTCCTTGACTTAAAAGTAGCGTTTGACTCTGTTGACAGAGAGGTTCTGTGGCAGTGTCTGTCATTGAAAGGCGTACCTCAGAA